AAATTAAAAACGGGTCTTATTTTTTTAGACACAGTAATAGTGGAATGTATATTCTATATGTTTGTAAATTCAAGAGAAAAAATATATATGTGGGGAAGTATTTTAAATTATTTAACCTAGATTTTTTTTTTTAAATTCTGAGTCATATGTAATAATTTACATATGACTCGAGTCATATGTATTAATTGAAAAAAATGGCAGACGAGATGAAATAAAATTATCTCTTCCAATTCCATTCCACCTCTGTTGTTGTTGTTTCTTATCCCACTTGGCTGGCCAAGCCCACGAGCCCATATGGACTCATGATTGAAGGGGAAGGAAGCAGCTTCTGTTGTGATGGAGCACCCGTAGGTAGAAGCCTGACTTTGGCTCCGTGACGCTCTTACAGTCATAGAAGACCGGGACCTACGGCTTAAAGTGGATTCCGAACCATTACAAACATCCATGGCACCGCCGGGATTCGAACCCGAAACCTGTGGCACCGAGCGCTAGACACTCGGCCATTCAGGTCCCAAATTTGCCAACGGCGCGCGGTGTTCCCAGGTGGTCACCCACCCAAGTACTGACCGCGCCCAATGATGCTTGACTTCGGTGATCTAACGATAACCGGTATATTCAGCATGGTACGGCCGTTGGCACATTCCACCTCTAGATGTCCAAAGTCTTCCAAGAAAACCACTCCAAAAGACTCACCCCGGCAATCGGACAGACGGAAAGAGGGGCCTGAAATATGACGCGTCACGAGACGGGGGGGGGGGGAGAGAGCGAGATGATGGATGGAGAGGGTAAATATCCTGTGGTAAAACGGCTCCCGTCGTAAATTTCCAAGCCACTGCCGGCGCCGCAGCAGACAGGTAATTTAGGGCATGACGTATTTTCAACTTCCGTGTTATGGGGGGCGAATTGCGTTAGGAAAAAGGAGAACGTCTTTGCTCGCGGATCGGCAACGGCGAAAAAATAAGTTTCATGTAGGATCTATTGCGACGACTGTTTATCGCTCTCTGGCCAACATTACGCTTTAAGTTGCATGTTATCTACCAATAGAGGGCGCCGGATGTCACAGGAAAATTTCAACTTTATTTGTTAAAGGATTTTTTTTTATATATTACTTGTTTTGGAAATCAAGTTGTAATAGGATAGTTTAGGGGGAGAAAGTTTCTGGCATTAATAGTTAAGGTTAGTAAGGCATTGGTTCATGGCTCGTAGGAAGGCAGCGACCATTCCGACTTGACTGGCTGATACCTTATTCTTAAAGTACGGTATGCAAAAATTCTCTAATTATTATTAAAGCAACATAAATTATAAAATCCAAAAGTTAAGTTTTAAAAAAGAAATAAAATAGTAACGAGCCCATGTTCTGTGAAATTTGAAAGGAATAAAAAAGGTTAGTAAATATACAATATTTAATTATTTTTTTTCATTTCCAATGGCAGACTACAATAAGCAATTAAATAAAAAAGAAAAAGAACACAAGGAACATGAAGACAACAACGAGAATCGAAAGAAATCACATAGTAGAGAGTTTTTGCATACCGTACGTTAGTTACCGCAGGACGTCCGTTAGCTTTTTCTCCCTAGCGCGCATGCCCATAGGAAACAATTTCCTATGAGTACTAACTAACTAACTAACGTAACTAACGTACGGTATGCAAAAACTCTCTAGTGACATGTTTAACCCATAACGATTCCCTGTAACGACCCTACATAGTAAAAGAAACGACTGCAGGGCAGACATGAAAATTAAAAAATATATTTTGCTATTAAAGGGCCTGAATGGCCGAGTGGCTAGCAGTCTGGCGCTCGGTGCCACAGGTCTCGGATTCGAGTCCCGGCTGTGGCATGGACGTTTGGAGTGGTTCGGAATCCACGTTAAGCCGTAGGTCCCGCTCTCCTATGACTGTAAGAGCGTCACGACGCAGAAGTCAGACTTCTACCTACGGGTGCTCCATCACAAGAGAAGCTGCACCCCTCTTCCCTCCTTCCATGAGGGACACGACAACAGCAATAAGAAAAAAAATATCGCGCTTAAACAAAGCGAGTGGTTAGCGCTCTGGCGATCGGTACCGCAGGTTTCGGGTTCGAGTTCCGGTAATGCCATGGATGTTTGTAGTGGTTCTGAGTCCACTATAAGCCGTAGGTCCCGGTCTAACAGGATAGTAGAGCGTTGCGGGTCATTGTTACTCCGCGTCCGTGGCTTATCTTCAAGTTACACGCGCCCCCTGGGTAGTGCTAAAGGCTCGTTCCCACCGAGACGTGAAGTGTTGAAAATTCACGCGGCAGGCAAGAAAATTTTTTTGACCCTTTCACAGCGAAACGTCAAAAATAGCATTACGCCTACTGAAGTTCCGCTTCGAGTTGAGGTGTTTAAGCGTGAACGTTGACCCATCACTAGCCTCACCGCGTTCGCCTGAAACTGGTTGAAATCCACCGCTTCGAGTTGACCCACTTTCAACTCTCAAATGCTTGCCGCGTCACGTTACTATTGACCTAATCTTTAAGGAAACTGTTAAATTTTCAATCCACAGCGGGATTTTCGCTACGGCTATTCAAGAAATCTCAAGAATCACGGAACGCAATTCATTTAAAATGCATTGTTTTGCTGAACACCATTTCATAGCAACCAAAGAACGCATTTTCCTTGTCCAATACATTGAATGAGTGGAAAAACATTGTGTTTGGTTCTTAAAACGTCATTCAAAGTGGACCTTTTTCTTTGCTCATTACCTGCAGCACCGAATGTCGGTGGGCGGAGGGTGGGGCGAATCATGGACCTTTGGGCGTTAACCCAGCTGAATTCCCCACGGACGAATCATTCAGGCCCGTTGTTACCTTTTTTTTTTCTTGACGTCAATGCTCCAGGACTGCGTTATTATCGACTTTCAAATGACGAGGGCACTCCAAATTTTTTTTTTTTTTTTAGCTTTATCAGCATTTGATGGATGATGCGAAACACTGTGTTTCTTTCTAAAAAGTGATAAATATTCCTTCTTGCAAGAATGTAAATAATAGTTTTATATTTTAAGTTAAGTGGCAGTTTTCCTTGATGACTAATTGCATTAAGAGGAAAGGGGCAAACAGTGAGAAATTCTCTTGTTCAATTCCTTCTATTAGCTCACACTCTCCCTCTATATATCTTGTTGACATTTTCAATCGCACATAAAATACTTTTTATTCATCCACTCCAGTTCAAAAGCATTTTTTTTTTGAACTTGTAGAGGATGACACCCGACGTTGACACAGTTTTTTCAAATATTAATTCAGTAATTAAATTTATTTAATTTGTTTTAGTTTTTTTTAGATTTAAATTGCATGTATCTAATAATAGATGGCGCCAGAAGTAACTTTATTTATAAAGGACTTTATGCAATAGAGTGAAAAAAAAGTAGGAATTGATTTTAAATTTTTTTTTTTTTTATATTATTGGTTTTTCGCTTTTTCCGCCTTTGATGGATGATGCGAAACACTGTGTTCATTCTAAAAAGTGATAAATATTCCCTTCCGAGAGTTTCTTGCGAGCATGTAAATAATAGTTTTATTTTAAGTTTAAGCGGCAGTTTTCCTTGATGACTTATAGCATTAAGAGGAAAGTGACAACACAGTGAGAAATTCTCTTGTTCAATTCCTTCTATTAGCTCACACTCTCCCTATATATATCCTGTTCAAAATTTCAAACTTTAATAAAATACTTTTTATTCGTCCACTCGAGTTCAGATACATATTTTTTTTTTAAAACTTGAAGTGGACGAGACTTGTTCTTAATACAGTTTTTTCAAATATTAATTCATTCATTAAATTCAATTTTTTTTTTTTTTATTATTTAAGATGCATGTATCTGTCAATAGATGCCACCAGATAAAAATAAAAAAATGAATGAAAATTATTTATAAAGGACTTTCTGCAATAGAGTGAAAAGGTAGTAATTGACTTAAAAATGTTTTGTTTTTATTACTTGTTTTTCTTTTCTCGCTTTATCAGCATTTGATGGATGATGCGAAACAGCGTGTTTCTTTCTAAAAAGTGATAAATATTCCTTGATAACGCCCCTTGTCACAAGGCTAAAATTGTGTTGGAGTGGTTCCAGGAACATGATGCTGAATTCCAGTTAATGTCCTGGCCGCCTAACGCACCGGATCTCAATCCGATAGAACACATTTGGGATGTCCTGGGACGGCAGCTCAGAGTTCAAAGACCGCCCATTCGCAATATCTCGGATTTGCGTGACCGTTGCTCAAACATTTGGTACAATCTGTCTCCGGCCATCTACCAAGGATATGTGGCATCCACGCCAAGGCGGGTTGAAGCTGTGTTGCGCGCCAAAGGTGGGCCAACTCGTTATTGACAGGCGGTCATAATGTTTTGGTTCTTGAGTGTATGTTCTAATTACCGTCATTAACTAATAATAACAATCGCATGGCTAGATAGCAAAAAAATATATTTTTTTTTTTTTACATGCAGAATACATAAACTGAAATTTGTAAAGTATTTAAAAATTGAGAAGGGATACTATATTATTTACAAATTTGAAATAAATTTATCTAATATGTTGTAATACTTTAATTATATAATAATTAAAGAAAGATAATTAATAATTAAATTAAGTTATTATTATTATTAATAATTCCCTTTCATTAATTATTAATTACTAATTAATGAAAGATAATTATAAAGATAATTAATAATAATTAAAAAAAGTATTACAACATATGTTTGTTGTTGTTGTTTCTTATCCCACTTGGCTGGCCAAGCCCACGAGCCCATACGTACTCACGATTGAAGGGGAAGGAAGCAGCTTCTGTTGGGATGGAGCACCCCGTAGGTAGAAGTCTGACTTTGGCTCCGTGACGCTCTTACAGTCATGGGAGACCGGGACCTACGGCTTAAAGTGGATTCCGAACCACTACACACATCCATGGCACCGCCGGGATTCGAACCCGAAACCTGTGTTACCGAGCGCCAGAGGTTTCCAATTCGGCCATTCAGGTCCCAAATGTGTGAATGCCAACGGCACGCGGTGTTCCCAGGTGGTCACCCACCCAAGTGCGCCCAATGATGCTTGGCTTCGGTGATCTAACGAGAACCGGTATATTCAGCATGGTATGCATATAATTTATAATTTAATAACGTATTATAATTTAATAATTGTTGTAACTTTGAATGTACAGTGATAGGGTTAAAATACTTTTTTACCTCTGAAGTAATATGAAAATTCAAACTCTATCAAAATTTGCACAAAAATCCTTATTCTAATGTTTTATTATTAATATTTTTTATTGAATAAGATTTTAAGGGAAGTTCTTGAAAAATATCTTCTAATTACCTTCATTAACTAATGATAACACTCGCATGGTTATCATTAATATGATAAAACACAAATGGATTTTTTTTTTTTACATGCAGAATACACAGTAAAACATACATAAAGCAAAATTTGTGAAGTATTTAAGAATTGAAAAGGGATGCCATATTATTTACATATCTACGAAAAATTTATCTAATATGCTGTAATACTTTCTTTAATTACATAATAATTAAAGAAAGTATTACAACATATAAATTATAATTTAATACTTGTTTATAATTTAATAACGTACTCTAATTTAATACTTGTTTATAATTTAATATGTTCTTTTTCTCAACATGTCTTCTCGTCGTTGTCGTCAGAGTGGTTATTTTGTCTGATTCACAAGCCGCAATTCAGGCTATTAGTTCCACCAAGCCACCTTCATCAGAGGAAATCTCCCAGTGTCAAAAGCATTTGCGAGAACTGACTTTAAAAATGAAACGGGTGGTACTTCAGTGGATACCTGGCCACTGTGGCATTTTTGGGAACGAACAAGCAGATTGTCTAGCAAAAAGAGGCTCAAAACTACTTGAAACGAGATCCTCGTCACTGTCCCTCCATTCTATAAAACTTTATATCCAACAAATAGTGACTAAAAACCACAAGCTACAAATTCAAGATGAGATTAAATAAAAGCGTTGGAGAGCTGAAGATCTTTTAGCAATACCCAGCAATCCGCGACGGCATGCTGTCGCCCAGTTCCGACTTCTGACTGGCCATGACTGCCTAGCAGAACATCTCCATCGCATTAAAATCTTTTCGAATCCTGGCTGCCCCCTTACGTGGTTCAACAGACCCAATGAACAGACACCACCTCCAACGATGTGCGGTACTTGACGACAACAGCGCTTTACTGGCGTGCGAGAGAACTCTTAAGGCAATGACTTCGGTCATCTTTGCATTTTTTTTGGACGCTTAATCTTTTGTATTTTTCTCCCTTTTTATTTTTGTTATTATTAATATTTTTATTCTTTTTGTACTTGCCTTGCCATTGGAAATAAAAAAAATAATTTAATATCGTATTATAATTTAATAATTTTTTATAATTTAATATCGTATTATAATTTAATAATTTTTTATAATTTAATAGCGTATTATAATTTAATAATTTTTTTATAATTGAATATCGTATTATAGTTTAATAATTCTTTATAATTTAATAGCGTATTATAATTTAATAATTTTTTATAATTTAATAGCGTATTATAATTTAATAATTTTTTATAATTTAATATCGTATTATAATTTAATAATTTTTTATAATTTAATATCGTATTATAATTTAATAATTGTTGTAACTTTGAATGTACAATGATACAGTTAACATACTTTTTTACCATTAAAGTAATGTGAAAATTCCAACTCAAAATCTGCGCAAAAATCCTTAAGGGAAATGACACTCAGTTATTTATCATGACATATTACGTTCTAAAATAAAAACCAAGCATATACTGCTGATTTCGTGGGAGAGGCTCTAAAATCAAATTTCGTGAAGGCCGGTTCCGCAATCAGCCAGAAGTTAATCGTATTTTCTTACCAATTGAAAATCTCGAGTTGTACACTACATATTCCAGAACTAGATTTGATTCCATTTCACGAGCGTACAAGTCTAGCGAAGGAATATTGATTTCCATGCCAGATCATGACTTCGATGGAAGGGGGTTGAGGTGGGGTGGGGTGGGGGGGGGGGGGAAGATGTCACAGTCAATATAAACAGCCATGCGATTCGAATGCTAATTCAGAGCCATTCAGGGAAAAAAAATATTTCAAAGATTTAAAAATAATTTTAAAGTGAGAAAGAAAGAAACAAGTGATGACGCATTAAAAAGAGATATACTACTGTATCCAAAAAGTAAGACCCATTTTTAATTTAAAATTCCCGGGGCTTAGGGAATTAAATTTTTTTCTTCTTTTTTTAGGTTGTTGGCACTGTCCTTGACATCTGTGTGAACTTTGACGTCAAAATATTCATGAGTGCTTGAGTTACGCTTGGCTTTGTGAGACTCTAAAACTGATGATTTTTTTAAATGTCTCTTCAATCAACTCAAAATGGTGTCCCCGGAGGTCTTTTGAGTTTTGGGAATAGTCAGAACTAGCACGATGCTAAATTAGGTGAATACGGTGGTTCAGAAACGATATGGGATTCATTTTTGGTGAAAAAGTCACGAAGAATCAATGCAGTGTGAGCTGGCGCACTCAGTGTTTTCGGTACCAATCAAGATTTGACGAGTTTGAGGCTCAAAACATCTTTTAAAATGGAATTTTGAAATTCCAACATCATCGGCAAGGTCTCTACTTCTAAATCGACGGCTTGCAAGCACCCATTTTTTAATTCTTTGGACGTGAGCTTCGTCATTCCTACTATTAGTTCACACTCTCCCTATATATATATATCTTGTTCAACTTTTCAATCGTCAATGAAATGAGTGTTGGTGCATTAAAAAGAGATATACTACTGTGTCCAAAAAGTAAGACCCATTTTTAATTTAAAATTCCCGGGGCTTATGGTATTTAAATTTTTTTTTTATTTTTATTTTTTAGGTTGTTGGCACTGTTCTTGACTTGTTGACATGTTTTTTAAATCAGGGGTCTCCAAACTTTTTCGGTCGCGGGCCAAAAATCGAAAAAAAAAAAAAAAAAAAAAGTTTGGCGGGCCAAGAAAAAAATTTGCTAAAATTTTAAAAACAATATACAAGTATTACCATTTAAATATGTTAATGATCAGAATGAAATCGACATTTAATTTTAAAACTTCCTTGTAGAAGTGAAAACCTCATTATAAGGAATCGCAAATGCTCATCTGTCAGTCTACTTCTGAAATAATTCTTTCTAAGGTACAAAGTTGAAAACACGTGTTCACATATATCAGATGAGGCAAACATAGCACTGATTTTCTGGCTGTGAGATATTCAATTAAGGAAACCTACTTTCGATATTGATTTGTAAAACTCTAACTTTGGCATATTTAGAAAGAACTGCTGGAGATGATGGTTAGAATGTAACTCAATTATTTCAACTTGCAAATCCTTTCCGATTGAAAGCTGTCTGTTTCCGTCGATTCATGTTTTGTAGAACAAAGATAGAGAAAGTAAGAAGATCATCAGTCCTTTGAAAAAAGGAAGAAAAAAAAATAATAATATTTAATCAAAGTAGAAGAGGAGATGGATATATAATATATTTCTTTTAATTTGCCTCGGACCGACAAATTAAAATTCTAGGAATCTTCCGGCGGGCCGGATTTGGCCCGCGGCCGTAGTTTGGAGACCCCTGTTTTAAATAGTAAAACATAATTCGTACTAATAAAATAAATCTTCCTAGTTTTTAATTCAACTCCCATTAAATTTATAATATATACATTATTTTGCACGGTTGAATTATTTAAAAGTTTTGCCTACTGAGTAAGATTTTTTTTATTCCTTTCCCCACATTTATTTAAATTGAATTTTCGTTTGTTTTCATCGAATTATTATTCAATTCCTTTTATTAGCTCACACTCTCCCTCTATATATCTTATTCACATTTTCAATCAATAATAAAATACTTTTGATTCATCCACTCGAGCTCGAATACATTTTTTTAAACTTGTAGTGGATGATACCTGATGTTAATGCAATTTTTTCAAATATTAATTCATTCATTAAATTTAATTCATTAATGTTAATATTTTTTTAGATTTATGTTGCATGTATCTACCCATAGATGGCGACAGATAAAATTATTTATAAAGGACTTTCTCCAATAGAGTGAAAAAAAGGGAGGAATGGAATTGAATTTTTTTTTGTTTATACATTACTTGTTTATTATTTATTTTCCCTGGAGGTTACAAAAGTGTGATAAAATGGCATAAAACAGGCGAGGGTGTTATGCCTAGCATTTTCGATTTTTTCATTTTCTGTCAAAGCATTGCTAACAAAAAAAAAACCTAGGCCAGAAGGCTTATTACGTGGAAATAAAAGGAAACCTGGTTTCGATTTGTACCGGAGCGAAAAAAGGATTATTGCAGGATTACCGAAACACTGCGATGTGGTTCGGGAAATACTTGCAATATCGAAATTCGAGCAGAAACATTCGAGAAAGATAAAAATGGATTTTTTTTCTTTTATTCGGTTTAATCAGAAGACCGAATGGACGCTGCCTGTTGGAAATTCGAAACATTTTCCAAATTTTGAAATTGTGTATATGCATTGCAAGGAAGGAAAGACAGCGGGTTTTTTTTCCCACCCCATTTTTTAGTGGATAGATGAATATTAGTATTGTTGTTGTTTCTTATCCCACTTGGCTGGCCAATCCCACGAGCCCATACGTACTCATGATTGAAGGCGAAGGAAGCAGCTTCTGTTGTGATGGAGCACCCGTAGGTAGAAGTCTGACTTCGGCTCCGTGATGCTCTTACAGTCATAGGAGACCGGGATCTATTCATTACAGCATAGAACTCATCAATTTGTTGTTACTCTTATGCAGCTGGCAATACAGAGACAGTTCATCTTTATGCCATAAGCAAGGGCTGCACCGCTGTTACTCATTTAGCAGTACCAAGGGGCACGTGTATTTGCAGGTACAGACGCAAGTCACACTACCCCTATAACGCTCTACGATCCTGTTAGACCGGGACCTACGGCTTAAAGTGGATTCCGAACCACTACAAACATCCATGGCCTCGCCGGGACTCGAACCCGAAACCTGTGGCACCGAGCGCCAGACACTCGGCCATTCAGGTCCCAAATTGTGTGAATGCCAGCGGCACGCGGTGTTCCCAGG